TTTGTGATTTGGGTCCCAGTTCTTAGGGACACCCAACGAACTGCGGGATCTATGAGCTGACCGGATAGGGATAGTCAAAACCACGCTAAACTCTGCGGGTCCATTAGCGATTTCGGGGAAATATTTTCTTTGATTGCTTAGTGTAGCTTGCATCACTCGACATCCTTAATCTCCTTAACTTCGTAAAATACACCAAGTGGTTTGAACATCTGGAAAGTTGAGGGAATCTTCTTCACAGAACCAACAAAGTCATCAGAATTCCATAATCGCATTCAAAGTTTAATCGACTTTCAACGTTGTTATGAGCAGTTTATAATGATTTTGCATTGCTCTAAAAAAACCAACAATTATTAAAACAATATTCTATTTGTTTACAAAATTTCCTTGAAACATCTCTAAAATTGTGAGACTAATTTGCATTCAAACATAGAACGTTTCGAATTCGATTTAAATTTTGTTGAGCGAATCTCTTACCTTTCTGATACTTTCATACAATTTACTCAGGATGTAATACAATAATCAGCTATTGGAAAATACAATATAATACGTGATTTTTGAATGTATGAAAATTCTTCAAATATTTTTTATTTAAAAATGGCAGTTTTTTTTAAGAGAAGGGGATAGCACGTAGAAGCCGAAACACGTTTAACGTCAGATATCTATGAAGCGGACTGCGAAGAGAGAATGAAAGTACCTTTAACTATACATAAAAATAACGCGTTGATATTCATTAATCTTAGTTCAACAGCTTTTCGTCAGATCTCTGAAATCGACTTTTTTTGTCTTTTTGTATTAGCTGATGAATTTTTATGAGAATTTTTTTATTTCATATCAGAAATACCTACGAAAAGATTTCTTTATCAAATTTTTTTATCATTTGGATCTGGTCTGATATAAAAAATGGTATATATTGCGTAAACTAAGGTTGCGAGTAGAATAAATGAAAATTGTTACCTCTAACGTTATATTGAGACATACTTCAGTTATAATGAAGATAATGAATAACTGATCTAGTGAAATGTTCTCATCCTTTTTAATCCTTAGGGACGAATCTAAAGTAAACTATTTCAGATCTGCCATAATACACTCACATGTGCGCATGAATTAAACTTAAATACCGTAAAAATATCTTTGGATACTTTTAGTTCCTCATTCAATAGTAAAGTCTAATAATGTCTATGCATACATACATATCTTTCGAAATCGATATTGTCGAGGAAGTTTTTTTAATGAATTTTTGAAATTGCGGTTGCGCTTAACTTGGAATCAAAAACCTTATGTCCGCTGAAAGACCGATGTTGACTTTTACCAGCAGTCCCAGTTGTCCACTTAAAGTTTAATGCAATCAGTTGAGCCCTCGCAGCTCCCATGTATTCTCTTATTTCCTTGCTCTCAGAAGTATTTTATGATTTTAAAAAGTTTTTAATGAATGTTTTATATTTTCATTGCTGAAGGTCACAAAAAAAAAATTACAATGGCGCAAGGTAGTTCCCTTGAATGACACCTGCAGGGGCTTTCTTCTTAAGTATTCATAACTTAAAATTCAGATGTTAGTATGACATTGCAATGAGCAAAAAATCTTAACATTTTTGTGCTAAAAATTAAAAAAAAATCTAACTATATCCAACCGTTATTTAGGTTTAATTAAAAAGGCGTTTACTTTTCACAACTTAATATTTGAACCGAAATTGTCAAGGTAACCAAAACCATTCAGAGCTAGAGAGTAACAACAAAGAGTGCAGACATGATAAAAATATAAAAAAGGTGCCAGTCGCACTGATAACTAGTTTCAAAAATGTTTGATTATCATATAAAATTTGTTTTACCCCTCAAGTCATAACATAAAAATCTCTAATATGTATCATATTTTGTATTCGTTTGTATTTTTGTTGTGTCCGAAACTAACCGGCAGATTATGCTGAAAATTTGTCAGTTGGTTTCCATGGTTTCTGGGAAGGCTTCCGGCAAGTGGACAAGGGACTTTTTAAATTTTTTAAAATTCGGTGCACCCTTTCCTTCCGGGAAGTGAAGAAGAGATAGACATATACGAAGATATCGTATTTCTTATTCTTTTTATTTGATTTTTTTAATTCACAACCAAGTATGATTAATCTGAAGAATACAGGTGAATACACAATAGTGAAAAGGAAAATTAATTTAATTTTTTATTTTCCCCTTTATTCCCCCATTTCGCGAACATAAAAACGCTCCCTCATATATGTGCATAACGTCTGTGGAAAAATATATTTCACCCATACTTGGATAACTCGCGTTTTTCGCAGGGATAGTGCATATACATAAACAATACATACACGTACATACTGCATCCGCACATATTAATAAACTTGAATGCATTCATTGAATGCTCGCTTGAAGCCATTAAATTTTCAAATGATTCATAAACTTGTTCAAGAAATGGTAGAGGAATCATGGCATAAAAATGCTTGAAATTTGCCGCAGCGGGGTTTTTATGGTAATTAACTTTAAATCAATTTTTACTCACTTTTTATATATTTTACTTTTTTATTATTTTTTATTTTTGCTCAACAAAATGTTTGTATTTGAGTGTATTTTTTATGAGCGAATTCAATAAAGGAGTGAATGCATGCAAATGGACTGAAGGCAATTTTAGCATTTTTTAGTTCTTTTTTAATCTTTCTTAGAAATCATCTTCTCTTCAAATTCCAAAATTTACCTGAAGATGAGAGAACAAATAAGAGAGTAAAAAACTTTCCTTTTTTTCAAATCTGGAGAACTACCAGGAGTTGCACGTTATAAGAGCACGCAGTGAAGAAAATAAAGCGGCCGTAGCTGAGAGTGTACACGAAGACCGTGGAGAGTTGATTTGGCGCCATTCACAGCAACTCGGACTGACGTATTGAACGACTTGGCGCATTTTACGTACAAAAGCAGCTTGTGCCGTTGGACTCTTGAAAAGTTTGAAGAAGATCCGACCTTCTCGAGCCAAATTTTGATCAGCGATGAGGCCCATTTCTGGCGCAATAGATATGGAAACATGCAAAATTGCCGCGTTTGGGACAAAGAGCAAGCTGAAGAGATTCAAAAGCTGCCATCTCATCCCGAAAAAAAAAAACGACGTGGTTTGTGGAATCATCGATTGAGCAGATAATTTCACCTTTTGGACCGGTCGATTGGCTACCAAGATCGTGTAATGTCCCACTTATACTTATACTTTTTCAGGAGAGTTACCTATCGAAATTCTCGAGCGTATCATCGAAAATTGGGCACAACGGATGGACCATATAAGACGTAGGTGCGGACAACATTTGAAGAAATAATCTTCAAAAAATAAATGCCCAAGAATGTTCTTTCGAATGATAATAAACAATTCTCATTAAATATGTATTTTCTGTGTTTTTTTTTAAGGTACGGATCCTCGAAATGGGTCACTCTTTCTTATTGACCTAACAACTTATTCGTATTCTTGGATCACTTTTTCGTTGCTCAACGCTTTTGATGAAAATGTCAATATGTCCCGAATATCCCGAAGTTAGTCAAATGCTCCATTCGGATCTATGCTTACTCAAGCTCAAGCTGAATAACTTGTAACCTGCAGCCGCAGAATAATAACATGGAACATAACTAAGCACGATCCGTAAAGAAAGTATTATTTATATTTTGGAGAAAATCTAAATTGATTTCAGGTTTCCAGTCGATTTCCAGGAAACAAAAATTTTCTATTTAGGCATATCTTAAAAAAGATAGCCAAATCGAACCATGATTGTGTATATTATTTCAAATCGATCGGTCTTCCAGTAAAACAAGAACTGCGATTTTTTTCGAATAGGTTGGCCTCTGCTGCACTTCGCGGTGGGGAAAATAATCTTGCTGTTGGGCTAAGCAAAATCCAACCTATTTAACGAATTTCAAGTAAATGGAACCAGCAATAAGATTTTTTCGAGTAGCTCAGTTCCTGGTCCAATTTTCGAAAGGGAACATAGAAACAAACGGACAAAATTTCAAATCAATCGGTCGGTAACTTATGGAGATTACCGAATATTCGCGAACGAACATTTTATATATATATATAAGTAAATATGTATATTGATATACAGATAAATGAATCTTCACGACCAATAAGGTTAGGTTAAGCTGTGATGACTACCGATCTATCGAGTTGGATTTACTTAAGCCTGACTATAACCACTTACGATCAATAAAATATTTTTCTTTATTTTTGGATTTCTCTCGGAAAACAACTATGTTTATTTACATACTTATTTAATTACATACATTAGGATTGGAATGTTTCTGGAAATTGTAATTTAGACTGCCCGCGATGAATATTTTTCAGCACCTTTTTTTTTTTTAAAAGTTGGTGGCACTGCCCTTAATTACTACGCCAAATATGAGCCCAATCTGTCAACCAGTTTGCGCATTGAAATCAGTCGACTTTAGTTCCTTATGCGATTTTCCTTTTACGATCTCAATCGAGTCGAAACGGGTTTCATAGAGTAGTAACATGAGTTTTGGAAACAATAAAAAGTCACATGGGTCCAAATCCGGTAAATACGGTGGTTGATCGATGGTATTAAACGAATTTTTGGTCTCAAAACCGTTCACTACAGCTCGGGGAGAGGGCGCATTGTCGTCATGAAAGCTACCGGAAACTGCTGGCCCACAATTCCGGCCGCCTCAAAACACCCAAATAATACTCTTTAGTGATCGTCTTTCTCGTTGGACCAAATTCACGGAATTCACGATGAACCAAGCAGCTAATATCAAGAAAAGACAATTTCCGGAAACTTTATGGTCCTAACGTATATATGTATACTCGTATATATAATATACCTTTATCCAAGTTTTCTCCAATAATAAGAAAAAACTCATAAATAAAATTTCCAAACAAGCAATCACAGGAAAGGAATGTTGCTGACCGATGCCAAGAGTTCAGGCAAAAACAAAAATTTACAAACGACAACAACAAATACAAAATCTAATAAACAATCAAAAACAAACCAGCAGTTAGCCAAACATACCTTATTCGCACAAAAAGCGCGTGCGCAGCAACAAAATACCTTCAAGCGAAAACGCGTTCCAAGAAAAGACAGGTATGAATATCTTTCTGCAAATATGCAAAAAAAAAAAATTAAAAAGATATTGAAAATAAAATTAGAAAAGAAACGCCACACAAGCAAAGAAAGAACACAACGTTTAAGATAAAAGCTACAATTCTGCAAATTCTAACTGGATTTTATGTTAAAACGCTGAAATTACCGTGTCGTTTGTGCGCTTTTTTCTCCTCTTCGCTCGCCAAAGTGGAAGCTGGACGCCAAACGCTGAATGATCAATACTTGTTGTTTTATTATTGTATAAGTTCATGTGTATCTCAGCGTCGCCGCAACGCTTGACCCAATTCGAGTTGGTTTCGGTGAAAAACTTTTTAACGGAAAGTAAAATTAGCTACAGCATTGACCGGCAGTAATGTTGCTGCCGCTACTGATTTTCAGTGCTGAGCTAGACTATGGCGTTTTTGTGGCTCTGTTTCATGCAGTGAATAAATAGCAGCGAAGTGTTGTTGGAGCTCATTACAAGTGCTTGTAAGCATATTTTATCGCACTCTACATTTCTGTATGCAAAGGTGCGTTGTAACTGATTAATATAACTGGTGATGTGTTAACCGTCCATTAAAGTGGCAAAGTCTTACAAGTGGTAGCCCTGAAGAGCTTTGTCTTTTTACTCTTTAGAATCACACTACCAATTTGATGTTTTTATGCAAGACACTCTTGATGAACAGGTACCCGACCACTACAGCTATTCTGAGTGAATTCTTCTGTAACCGTTGCCAAGAACCGCTTTTAGCCCAAAGCTATGGTTTATGTGAAAAATGCCAACAACAGTTAAGTGACAAATTGAGTCTTAGTTTTTTTCCCGCAAACACTCGGGCAGTTTTTTAACGGTGTACATATATAATTTTATTGTGTTTTATTTTTCTGCTTAACTTAATTAAAAATCGTTTTTTTTATGCGCTTTTTGGAAAAATTTGCATGAAGGTTACTCCAACGAGACAATGTGAAAATTATATGTAATTTTTTGTGTTTACGCCTTTTCCAAAGTAGATTTTGTTATTGTATATATTTAATTTTTTTTACCATTACTATCTTTATGTAATATTTATATTATATTAATGTTATAATTTTTTTTTAAAAGCACCAAGAAAATCCAGATAGAACGTCATGTTGACAAGACGACATGACATAAAACAGTCATAACAGAATTCTAACCTACAAAATAATATCCAGGCAAGGCAAAACCCTGAAAACTCCTTGAGTTCCTTTAGTTTTTTCAGCGATTGGCTTTTAATCTTCTATCATTGCTGTAAAACGGCTGTTTTTAAGGTTACCTTAATTTGGAGATAAGAAAAAGTCACACGGAGCCTTGTTTGCCGAATATAAGCAATATTTTTCACCAATAATCAAAGAAATGTGAGCAAAAACCATTAACTGTTTTTCCAGAAATCCCGTCGTTTTATTTCGCACAAACGGCGTTGAGCGAGTTGGTTGGACTCCTTATTGGCCGTTTGATCTGATAATAACCATTTTCTATGCCAATAAAAATTTACTGTGAACATAACTTTCATGACCGATTGCACTACTCGATCATTGACGAGCACTGGCGTGGGAGTATGTCTCCACAGCAATGAGTGATTTCGACCTTTTATAATTCGTTTCAACAATTCTGCTTCATCGTTGACTTGTGTTTCTTGAACCATTGTCTTTCGTCCCTGTTTTCGTCATGACATGATCCAAACGATAACCCAATAAGAATTGTGTTCGTTGATCAAATGGACAGTAACAATTTTTACTGAACTTTACTGAATTGTGTTCGTTGAGCCGAAACCCCAGTAAAATGAGTAACAAAAGAGCGCAAATTTTGCAGAGAAAGTTACTAAATCGTGCTCTGAAATTTCAGCCAGTAAAAACTAGCAAGTGTGAACAACAGCTAATGTGTGATCATAAATATGATTGAATTTTTGTCAACAGAAAAAAATCATTTCATATTAATATAATATTAACACTTTAATATGAATGATATACCAACAAAATGAGTGGCCAAATGTAATTTTGCTGTAGTAAATTTAAAGGAATCAACGATTTAATTAAATAGTTAATTTACTCATTAAATGAGTATGTGGCGGCATTGGGGTGGAATCATCCCCCACATACCACCGCACCCGCTTTGATGATTTAGCAGTTAGGAATATTGAAGGCATAGAATTAAAATATGCTTTTAATTTTAGTACAACACAAAATTATTTTGGATTTCTATAATTTATTAGAAAGTAGTGGCGACCAAATGAGCCCCAAAACATTGCAAATCAAGGTCGTTGCAACCGTCACAGTGACGATAATGCACTCTTAAGCTTCCGGAGGCGACGACGATGTATAAAATGATATATTAGTGGCGTTTAGAAGGAAAAATAAAGCTCTTTCTCGGTTTTTATTTGAACATAATAGCATAGACTCAATAAGAAAGTTGAGATAATCTACCGGCTTAATTCCAAACTCACTTTCGTATTTCAAACATCCTTCCTGAAAATCTAAAATCTTAGCGGCAAGTTGTTGTAAATGAAGTTTTACATAAATCTTCGTTCTTTTAGAGTATTATTAGAAAAAACTTATTGGTATATTTATCCTTGAACGGCTGTAAAGCATATGGAATCTCATCATAGTCGAAATACCATAAATTTTAAAAACATTATATAAATTAAAAATACTTTATAATTGCCAATTTTACTACAATACTAAGAAAACAAACTTAAAAGCAATACAAATAAACTGTGTAATTGAACGAATTGAAATTTAATCGCTGAACTAAACCGCTTGCTGCCTAATTTTTACTGAAGCCTGTTCGGTGAAAACTCAGTAAATTTATTTCTTTGGGAGAGTAAAATATGTTGCTCTCTCAATTTCTTTACTGTCTAATTTTTACTGAAATTTCTCAACGAACACAGCTTACATGAGAGACTTCTCTAATTGTGATTCGGCTATCGTTCAAAATCATTTCTTTCACTTTCCTAAGTCTTCTTCAACTTCAACTTCTTCAGTGCTTTGTTGGAAACTCTTTTGATACTCGCAAACACTTGCTTTGCTCATAACACACTCACTATATTATTAATATTTTACATACTTTTTTATTCCTAATTATTTAATTTTTTGCGCAAAATCTTATAAGCTAGTGCTCTTCTTTGTCTTAATAATAAGATTTTCAATTTTATAATTAATTATAATAAACAAATAAATAATATTTGATTCATTTCTCTTAACAAATGAAAATCGGCGAGCTCATGACAACACATTTAACTCTTTAAACCATCACAGATAAAGTAGTTCTTTTCGATGGCTGATGAGCAGTAACAATTGCTACTAATTTTCATTGAGCCACATTCGTCAAGGTAAAAAGCCAGTAAAATTTGTGTCGAGAGAGCGCAATTTTGACATTTCGTCACTGGATAATTCTTACTGACATTTCTCACCGAACAGAGCTGATTGCTCTCCAAATTTTACTGGCTTTTTGCCTCCCAGAACGCGATTCAACTGTTGCTGCCCTCACCAAACAGAGCTAATAGAAACAGCTGAAATTTTTATCATACTTCAGGGGCTAATGTCATAGATATATCAAGGAAAAACATAACAGCGCATTTTGATATTTGGTTTAGTAATTATTTTTTTTTAAGGTTTAATCTTTGCAACTGCAAAAAATATTTTGTATGCCAATCCAATCTTAGATAGATTGTAAATCCACTCTCTAAGTAAATATTATGCATAAAATCAAAAATACAACTTAAAGGAAAATTTAAAAAGATTCAAAAACTCTCTCCATTTCTCTAATTTGTTTTTGTATAATTTACCGAGATTTGTTGTCGTTGTGTGTTGCTACATTTTTAACAATTCTTAACTATAATTATTATTATTTTTTAATTATTATTATTTCTTAGTATAAAAATATTTATTTTGCCTTTTTTCAGACAATGGAGTTAAGCAATTTCAATGCATCGAAAAAGGTATCACGCGAAGAGCGCCGATATTCAGTACCTCACGGTCCTAATACACCACAGCCGCCGGCGGCCTCAGAGGACTTACACGCGTGGTCAATATATAGGTCAGTATTTAGATAATTTTCTAGGCCACCTCGCATGCAACTGACTAAGGGATTCGTTATGCAGAAGTTGATTCAAATTACATAATTGTAGTTATTTCGTTAGTCTCTGCTTTCAGAAGTTGGAGATCTTGATCTGGCTCTTTTTTCTACTATAAACTCAGCACCACCCAACCAACCAACTCTTAAAATAAATTAGATTTCTATATTAAAATGATCAGTTTCACAGAGAATAACAAGCCCGTTGTACTCACTGCCATTATTTTGTCAAAGACTGAAGTGTCGAAGGAGCCAAAAAATGATTGAAAAACTGACGACCGTAATAACCAAAAGGGTTGAGGGGCGAACGGCAGAGTATTTACCAAAATTCTGATTGGAATAATATTAAAACATATTTTCTTTTAATGAGGTCGTCCCTGCAGGAACATTTGTGCCTAAGATATGAGACATTCCGCTTAAAAATTCGCTAGCTGCTCGGTGGCGGTTTGATATTTTATTTTTTATCTAAAAACGTACACACTCACCTAGAACATCGAGATGAAGAAAAAAAGAGAAACCGTTTTTGTTGTAAAAATTAGATCTTCTCTTCCAGAGTCCTTTTTTTTAGATGTATTGGATAAAATATCACATAGTAAGCCTGCTTTGTCACACACTCATTGCAGAGTTCTATTCGTGCTGAAGAATTTGTGGGTTATTCTCGTGGTTCTCTAGCATAACCTGTAAGAAAACAACTGTTTTAACGGTTTAATATTGTACTAAGACGCTTGTGTGACGTACTTCAGTTGGCTGTATTGGGATTATTAATGCATTCCAAAAATACAACTATCAGATTCATTAGCTTTAAGGTATTTCTCTTCTGCAAAGACGAATCAGCAGAATTTCCTTATTTTATTGAAACTTCTTTATTATGGCCACACAAGTTTATTACCATTTTTGGGATTTTCCTCGGGATGTTTCGCTTAAAGTCTCCGCTCTGAACAGCTGATGGATTTTTATGATGAACTTTTTTTTGTATCAGTAATACACTCCAAGACGTTTACATACCCTGCCCAACGGCTATCGTATTTAGAAAAACTTTTTTCCTCAACTTTGGAGCTTCGTTGGGGCAGAATTTCATATCAGTATGGTGGTACGGACTGTTAGTCACTTAGTTAATTCACCTGCAGTTCTGAAAATTTAATTGGAAAATTCTACGAAAGTTATTTTTCGACTCAAATCTTATTTCATCTTACAACAAATAATGCATATCGCTCTGTGCTCTTCTTGTCGAGACTCTAATCTGCCGCCGTATCGACCCCCTCTAGCACTAGTGTTGCTGGCATCTCTTTACATACAAATTATGCGAACCTTTGAATTAAATACTTAATCAATTTGACCTTGCTGCATTTGGCACTAATTCTTAATAAGAAATTTGTTTAGATTTTCTACGAGAATTAGTAACGCACCTGTTACTCGCACATTGCGTGCTACATTCTATTTATCGTTTACGCCAAATGGTCACATATACACGTGCAGTCCCAGAGTTATGTGGGTTGGCAACGCCTCAATGCGAAGCCGCCATCACGCACAGTGCATTTTGCGGTTGAATAGCTTCGTCGTGCACTAACGGAAGTGCTCATAAATTAACAATGATTGATTTTTGACGTTAATCAAAAGCGCTGCGCCGCAAGAGCCAATGTCAGGTAGCGAACGAACCAATGCATTATACCACACCTTCCATAGCCGCTTATACGTTGGTAATGGGCGGGCATTGTTAAGCCTACCAAGCCCTACAAAATAAACCGCAATAAATGGTAGGCATAACCATTTCTCTATTGTTTTCGTTGCACATCAGAGCAAGGAAATTCTTAATGACATAGGAAACCACACTGGGAGCTTCTATTAAATATTATTTTTCTACTCATTTTACCGCTATTTTCTATTTTTTCCCTTCTCTGTAGGCAAAATCTCAACTCCGACTTCACTGACTCCGCTTTGGGCTCATCAGACAAATCACCGCTGCCATATGGAAATTTCCAACTACGCGACACCACAGTGCAATCAATTCTCAATCATCCGCGCTACGGACCGAAGTAAGTTTTTGTAGCCGCCACGTGTGCAAAGCGGAAAGGAATACTCATTATTATTTTTGCCCTCTATTTTCTCAGATCACCCTTGGGCTCGAATATGTATACATATTTGAAATTCGGTCTGCCGCGTGTATTCCCACCGAATGCCGGCTCGCAGCGTTCACATCGACCGCCCGGACCCGGGCCCGGAGCCGGAGCCGGAGCGGGTGGTGTACGTGGTCGAGTAAATCGTGGCTTTCGCGATAGTTCAGGTGTGCCGCCAGCTGGCTCATCGGGCTATGATAGCAGTGACAACGAAACAACGCGCAGTCGTGTGCCGCCCAACTTGAGGTAAGTTCATTTCGAGGAAAAAATCAAAGATCACGTGCAAGCAAAGTGTATGTATGTGCACTTTTTATTTGTAGAAAATACCGCAGCGAGTCGGATTTCCGTGCCATTGGCGGCATACCCAGCTCACGTCCCGAGTCGCGCGCACAAGGTGTACCCATGACAGCGCTGCGACAAGCGAACAGTCGCGCCAGCATTGCTGGTAAGTAAACAAACTTTGTAGTCTCCCATTTTTGGCGCACAAGTGCTAATTTCTTTTCAATTACGACTCGTCACCTCCCCTCTGTGGCGCACAGTTGGCACGCACATCAATACTCATCACTATATACCGAATGGCAAACACTACGGCCATCGCTCGCACAGTGAAGCGGATTTGCTGGCCGGTGGTGGCGCTGACGTCATCGGTTATGATTATGGCGAATCGCGCATTTACGGTACATCACGCAATCGCGGCTCAGATCATCCAAACGGCGGACACGCAGCTTACATGATGTCCAGTCGGAAGCATTCCAGCATAGGGCTGGTCTATCCCAATATACAGGTGCATTGTCTAGATGTGAATCCGTGTCTCCGCGGTGTTTCTTTGCAAGCGAAAGCTGGCGATTTATTCGCCATAATGGCCACGTCACAACGTGAAGGTACAGCGTTGACGGAGTGTTTGGCAGGCTTGCACGAGCGCATGGGCGGTGAAATTCTCATCAATGGCCAACAGATTAATAGACGCGGCTTACGTGAGTTGTGTAGTTATGTGCCAGCGTTAAAGGTGTCCTCGTTGGATCCGCGTATGAGTGTGCAGTGTACTTTGAACTTCCATGCTGCGTTGAGAGGACCATTAGATCGCACGGACTTGAAGGAGCGGGTAAGAGTTTAAGAAAATAAGAGCTGTGAATGATGAAAACTTCAATAATTCAACTTGTTTTTCGCCAGATGGATGTGCTAATTGAGGATCTAGGCTTAACTACGGTGCGTGCTTCCAATGTCTCTTCGCTCACACACTCAGAGAAGCAACGTCTGAGCGTGGCATGTCAGCTGCTCGCACAATCGTCGCTACTCATACTCGATCAGATCACTAGCAACATGGACATTTTCGACACCTTCTTCCTTGTGGAGTATCTGCGTCAGTGGGCGAGTGGCGGACGCATTGTTATAATGACACTACAGCCACCCACTTTCGAAATACTCTCAATGTGTTCAAGCGTTTTGCTTCTGTCCGGTGGACGTACTGTCTTTTCCGGCAGCCGCTCTGATTTGCCTCGACACATGGGCGAGTTGGGTTACCCGTGTCCGCCGTTTAAAAATCCAGCGGACTATTACCGTAAGTGAACCTTAAAGGTAATATGTTGACAGTTATTATAGATGCTTTTATTTTACAGTGGACTTGGTTACACTAGACGACTTGTCGGCCGCCGCTATGCTAGAGTCCTCCGCACGCATCGAATCATTGGCCAATTCGTGGGATCAAATTAACTCAGAACCACCGTTAGCTGCACCACCAGCATCCCTGCCAAACTTTACACGCAAAGCCGGCTTCTGGGGTCAGGTGAAAGCTTTAATTAAACGTTTTGCGGCATACAAACAGCCAGGCTCGCTGCTGACTTGGATCAGTAAACTAATAGCAGCGGCAGTGCTCTCACTCTGCATCGGTTGCATATTCTGGGATGTGCCCGCCTCAGATCCACAACTCACGTACAACGATCGTTTTGGTTATCACCACTGTGTTATGGCGGTAGCTTATTGGCCACTGTTGCTTTTGACTATACGCGATGCGCAAGAGGATCGCCGACATGCTGAACGCGATATACGTTTGGGACTGTATTCGCGCGGACTTTACATTACAATACAGGTTAATAAACCCTCGCCAACTGTTGGAGGAGTAAAAATATTTAAATAAATGTCTACATATTTTCACAGTGTCTCTTGGGTCTCTTCCCGAGTTTATGCATATGGCTTGCATATTTATTGCCAGCGCACAGCATGGCTGGACTGTACACCTATTCGACGAGCAGTGATGCCGGCATCTATCTCTATATGGGTAAGCTTCTGTGGAGGTATTAATTATTTTAAATTTTCTAATGAAAAAATCGTTTTTCTCTCCTCCTTCACAGGTTACATGCTTCTTTATCTCACCGTCATACAAACGCTCGGACTCTTCTGTGCTCATCTCATGCCCTGCAAGGTGTCTGCCACCATTTTCAACGCACTTATTTCCCTAGGACTGACTGCTGTGGGTGGTTATGCCGTGCATCCACGCAATCTTTCAAAATTGTGGTCATGGTCCCAACTTATATCGCCAGAGAAATGGTTGCTGCCCGTTTTGGTGCAAGATGAGTACAGTGCGGAGACCTTGGCCAATTCAGCTGGGCTACAGCTTTGTCGCAATAAGCAGGTATGTACAATAATTATCTGTTCCAACCTGTTACCTTCGGATCTTGATCTTCTTATTCTGACTAACTGTCTATAGATAGAATTTAGGCTAATTTCTGTTGTTATAACCCCTATTACCCCGTAGAGGAGTAAGCCTGCGCTAATTTATGTCAGCGAGGTTAACTGACAGGATACCCATTTAACGTGCTGTAACGATGGGATCGGACCAAATGCCCAGGGCATTAAATGAGATTTAGGGGAAATACATGGAGTTGAACATATGTTGAGTTTATCACGGTTTAGTGTAGATAGGTAAGAGTTAAATCTACTACAATAGATAGATACGAGTTAAATCTACTACAATATTCAGGCCTTAATTGTGCTAGCTTTTCTCAAGGGACAGCTTCTCGTCTGCTTTAGCTAGTGAACGCGGTCCAATGATCATTTTTACTAGAAAAAACGTAAGGAAAGAGTTTATTGACTCTCTGTGGACGGTGGAGATCAGTCTATTCGCCCTTTTCTACTCGTCTTTTCAAAGTAACGTTAGGAAATACTCGTAGCATAGACACTTACTATACAGAAGCTGAAACACCACCCAGGACTGCATTCAGCGCCATCTACGGACGGCTTCCAGAAAGGCACTAAACGCCATTCACCGATAGTCCTGAACTCTCTTCCAGTGAACGGCATTCTCTGAGTTCAACCACCACTTACTGCATACAAAGAGCCCCAGATGCGCATCTTAAATTTGGATATTGTAGTCGATTAAACTACTAACTACACAGACTATATCCAACTTATGTCCTGCATGCAATGAGTCCCCGCACGGCCTTAACACCATCTTTGCATAACCCTTAAAACCAACTCATCCAACTCTAGTTTCGAACCCGTCAAAACAGTTCGTTTCCTGGATCTCCCATTAGAGGACCTCGGTGACTTGGACCGATCTAGCGTACCTCTAGGCGGGGTTTGCAAACCGCTACAACAACAACATAAACTAACGCAATTTAAGATCGTTACATAACCTCACAAGCTAAGGCAGTCGAACAACGAGATCTGAGACACTTCTTTACATTTTTGTTATATTCTATCGCCGACCTTTCACGAAATACTCGGGTCCCCCACGCAAGTTTGGTCGCACTTCTTTAAGCTCAAATTACTTTTCTTTTACTTATCTGTGCTCTATATTGCTGCCAAATAGTTCCTTGTCCAATCTAAATTGCGGCGTAACTGTTTAGATGACGATTTTCCATAGTCATCTGTAGTATTTAATTAATTTATTTTTGTTTTTCTAATTTAATTCTCACTTCCTCACAGGTTCAACATCAAGAGATCATTGTGCAGCAACCATGCCCACCACCGAACGGTACGCAGGTGCTAGTCGATTTCCAACTGCTGCAACGCAATCACATACTCGATCCGACCGATACGTACGAGCAAACCACAACCGTCGCCTTGGTGCTGGCCTCGGTCATAATATTTGTAGTGACTTTTTTCATATTTGTGTGCAATTGTCGTAATACGTTCCGCAAGAAGCAAAAACGAATTTAAATTTAATTTAAAATAAAAATATTAATTTATAAATTTATAGCGTTCATTAAACGCTGAAGATTAAAAGCAAAAATGTTGAAAAGAAATTTATTTACGTTGACTTCCATAGTTTGTAGCAGAGACACGCACAATTTAACAATGCATTTACCAACGTATTTATTCTACATAATTGTATGTATGTATGCTATTTGAAATGACATATTAACTTTTATGAAAAAATATGTAGTTAAAATAATAAATAAAATTATTTAATAAACATACGTCAAGAGCAAAATTCGAAAGTACGATTGCTTTTTATGTATGTACGACTAATACATATATGTTTTCACACTAATTTACATACATACATATATATAAATGTTTTATTTTTTATTTAGAGATAAGCGCTTAAGTTGTATGTAAAAATAGCGTCAAAATAAATATTTTTAAATTTAGATTAAAATAATAGAGTGTTTTTTATGGATTTGCCGTCAATGAGACAATATTGGAAATTGATAAGCAGTTTTGTCTAGGATCAAATATTATTTATTTAAGTAGGTATAATGATTTACTTTAGTAATCTTTCGAAGGGCTTACTGTCACTAAGAGGAAGCTGTTGTATAAAGGTTGTACATATGTATGTGCAAATGTGTAACATAAAAAATATTAAATATTGTAGTATAGTTTTCCTTATCAATGATGGAAGAGACGCAAATTTGTATGAGCCAAAACGATGCCGTGCTCATTACAGGCCTCAATAACACCAGCGTCATTTGTAGAACCAGCTGGACTGCCAATGAATGAAACGCCGCTCTAAAAGATAATGGATAGTAACAAAACACAGATGTTTTAATTGAATTTTCTTTTCAACTGTAAAAAAAAATTACAAAATTATTTACCAATCTAGCGCGATCAATATTATCACGGAATGGGAAGAATGCATCGGAGCCCAAGGAGACGCCGTCCAATTGCTTGAGCCAATCAGCCTTTTCTTGCGCAGTGAATTGTGCTGGAACTTCCTCAAACCTGTAAGATTTTAATAACTATTAATCAGCTCCACTACACCACCAATATTTCGTACTCACATCGCTTCAAACTGACTAAGTGGCATATCCTTGCCCACTGTGCCGTTCACATAGTTATCAATGGCATTGGAGATCTCCGCACGCTTAACGCCCGCCTTGAATTTCATGCCAGCAACACGTGGATGTTGACGCAACCACCAATTGTCGGCCTTTTCGCCAGCCAAGCGTGTGCAGTGTATACGCGATTGCTGGCCAGCACCAATGCCAATTACTTGACCATCGCGTGCATAGCAAACGGAATTACTTTGTGTGAACTTTAGTGCTATTGTGGCAACAATTAAATCGCGTATAGCATTCTCGGGTAGAGTGTTATTTTTTGTAACCACATTGGCGAAGAGAGAAGGATCAATGACGGCATCATTGCGTTTCTGCTCTAAGGTTAAACCAAAAATAGTTTTGCGTTCCAATGCGCTTGGCTCATAATCAGGATCCATCTGTTGGAGAATATATATATGTATATGAATTTAAATTTAAATTTTTAACACTCCACAAAAGATCCTATTCACCTGTAGTATACAGTAAGCGCCATTTTTCTTTTTCTTCAATATCTCCAAAGCCGCAGGCTCATAACCAGGTGCAATAATACCATCGGAAACTTCACGTGAAATGATTCTTGCCGTTACAACATCACAAACATCAGAGAGTGCTACAAAATCACCAAAAGAGGACATACGATCTGCGCCACGTGCACGCGCATAAGCGGTGGCGAGAGGTGTCAAACTGTCGTACAGATCCTCAACCATGCACAACTTGGCTTGCTCTCGGCTGAGCGGTGTACCCACAGCAGCACCAGCAGGTGAAACGTGCTTGAAGCTAGTGGCGGCAGACAGGTTTAATGCTCGCTTCAGTTCACGCACCAATTGCCAACCGTTTAGCGCATCGCACAAGTTAATGAAACCCGGTGATGCATTGACCACCTTGAGTGGGAGCGATTCGAGTTGCGTAAAGAGCTGTGCGGGTTTTTGGTGTGGGTTCATGCCATAACGCAGATTGAGTTGCGATACGCTCGAAGAATATTGCTTGCGGAAGTAATCCGAGATGGCATCGTCGTAGGTAGCAGTGTGTGTGAAAGCTTTGAGAGCCAATACTTTTCTAATAATGAAAAATATCAATTATTATATGCAATGAGAGCTAAAAACTTTTATTGGAAAAAGTGCAAAAGGGACACCTAAGAAGTTTTCGAACAGTGTATTTTTGTTCTTTGTTTTTCTAGGAAGTTTAAGACTACATGTTTTGCTCGAGGTCGGAGTAGCAGAAGAACGGAGTGTGTATTTAACGAAAAGTTCAGAAATGTTGCACTAGAGGACGGAGTTGTAAGATGATTTGAAGTATTGTACATTTGGAATTGATAATGTAAGCTTTATATCCTTTTTAGGACATATTTGCCCTGGCAGATGTCAATAAAAGAAATTTGCGTGTAAAATCCAAAATATGATATTGATTGCGTTTGTACAAAAGAGGGTAGGATGAAGGTAATTTTATGTGTCTTCTGTTTATCTAGTGATAAGGATTGTAGGTTGTGCTCCGCCATTTCGGTTATTAGACCCCATTGTTTCGTGAACTGTCCACTGGAACCCTACATTATCTAAGCATATACAATCATGAGACACAAACCTGGTTTCCACTGTAGTATCACCATTTTGCTTGATTTCGCCCAACACCTTCGCATAATCGCCAGCCTCACAGATCACGGTAACACGAGCATGATTTTTAGCTGCAGCACGCAATAACGTTACACCACCAATATCAATATTCTCAACAGCATCAGCTACGGTCACATCAGGCTTGGACACTGTGTTCACAAATGGATACAAATTGCAAACAACTAAGCTGATCAAATCAAAGTTTTGCTTCTGCATATCAGCAAGATCGCTTTCAGTTGTGCGTGACAATATGCCAGCGTGTACAGCTGGATGGAGCGTCTTAACACGTCCTCCAAGCATTTCTGGAGCACCTGTAATGTCAGAGACATCATCAACAATTAAACCGACATTGCGCAAAGCAGTGGCAGTGCCACCACTGGCAACCAAACGAAAACCAAGAGCGGCAAGATTTTGACCGAATTCGATGAGACCGGTTTTGTCGGAAACACTGAGCAGAGCTAGAAGATTTAAGAAAAGATTAAATTCTTCTAAAATATCCATTTTCTATAATTAGAACTCAAGGACTCACCAATACGTTTCGTTGCCATTTTCTTGCTCTAAGACTTGCAAATATGTTGTGGAATAACAATACTGCTTACGAGCACAGTTCAACTGAAAATAAAGTCGGTTAGAGATCAATGAATTATTAACATTAATTTTTGAAGATTTTTCGAAAACATGTTTGTTATTTTGAGTTGTTATTTGGTAAAACAGAAAATAATGACCTGTTTTTAGTACCCCTCATTGCATTTGGGGAAGATAAGCTGGGCGTTAATTTCAGCTAAAGAGTGATAATGATGATCTATGTAAATATTGACCCCAAGTTGAACCAGGCGCTATCAGTAAATGGTAAAATGACGTAAGAATTTTTAATATTGCCCGGCATCTGAGTTTATGTTATACTTGAAGGCGTATCAAAATTGATAGTGTATTTAAAAATGTTACTTTCATGAACAGACATCTACTAATACTACTATCTTGAAATATACTACATTTCTAATTGCTCGACAACACTGCCTTATCAAACACGTTCGCTCCATATGAGAAACAAACGTACACGTGTGCTCCCACACACGCACACACATTTGTATGAACATACATGTTTACGTAGTTGTTTAAGCACATGTAAATATGTATGTACATATACAACATATAAATTTACGCCTTCACATGCGGCTCAAATTGCATTTACAATGTAAACATGTGGGTTTTCAAAACCTGTTGAGCGCCGCCCTACAGCTAGAAGGGGATATGTCTGCTGTCTCAAGCTTTATAAAAATCAACTGAAAATTTAAATTCACGTTAATTAGAAATATCATATCACTTCACTAATTCTCTTTTGCTAAGTAATACTTTTATATTTAAAAAAGTTTTAAATTAACCCAAAATTATTAGCACGAATTTTTCATTGAAGTTTACCCAAAAAATGCAAATTTTAATTTATAAAAACACAATTCTTTAATTAAAATTAAATTTACATACCACTATCCGCTAAATTCACGTTACGACTGAATTTAATTATTTCCAATTAGACTAGGTTGAGATTAATTGGAAGGGATGAGTGCTACCAGATCACATTAAAAAAAGTGATCATGTAGGATTTATTGTCAAATCAGTATGCAGTCCTTTACAAGTGAGAGCTTTACAATAGAGAGACCTACAGTTTATTCTAAGCTGTTAACAAACGGCCATTGGAGCTATTATAATTGTATTTTAAGCCAGAAATGACTAACATCTTGTAGTTAAGATCAATACTTTTATGCGGTGCTTGTCTACTTTTTCCGTAATATTCTTCCTGTTAGAATATTTGACGATCCTGCAACAACAGAAAAATCGATGCTTTCTTTAAACTGTAAGTACAAGAAAACAGATCACCCTCGAACTAACGCCTCATCACTATCCTTCATATCAGTATATAACCAACACTCGCTTAATTCATCGATTCTTGGTATACAAAGAAAAGTTGTCGGCCCTTTAGCTTATTAATTTAAATAATGTTTCCATGAATGAGCGACATTATTAAACATTCTAAGATTTATAAATTCCTTTAATCTCTGATGGTCTACGCGGCTGTAGGGACGATAAAGAGGAGGAGACCATCGAGCATTAACTCTGCCACTGTTCAGCCTTGACATGCGCGTGACATAAGTTTCTTGGCAAACACTTCTTCGACTGTTTCGCTGAGTTGGCCTCAGTGAACCTTGGAAATCTCGTTGCCTATGCACAAAATGGTTCGATTATTTGAGAAGGTGAAGGCAGAAGCTCCAGCGGTATCACAATGGGCCTATTGGCCTAAGTGTGCTGGGGTTTTGACCAGTAGCCGCATCAACTCTCCTCAACTCAACTCTGATCGACCACCCAAAGGCTTGCTTTTCTACAAGTACCAGTAAGCAAGATTTATGTGAATTGGCTCATTCATCCCACCTTGTAACCCAACATAACCTTTCTGGTACCCCTCCTTCTCCTTTTAGATGGAATGTTATTTCATTTAATACTTCTTTTCGAATTAGACTATATACGAGCACTTTTTTTTATTTTTGAAATATTTATTAATACATTTATACGTTATAAATGAAAAATAAGTAGTTATGTAATGTGTTATCGATCTATAAATCAAATTATTTAAAAAAATATGTTCCATCTGAAAAAAACTTTATGTAAATCGTACTGTTTAAAATAACCTGCTCCACTTCGAGATCGAGCTAAGTGGCTTCCGTTGAAATTATAAGATCCCTTGGTTAAAAGAAGGCAGATAAGTCAAAATGTTGGATTAAGAGTTGTTATATTTTTGCACCACCGAAAAGCATAAATAATAGTATTGAAAATCTTGAAAAAGTATTTAAATATTAAATAAATTGTAAACAAATTTTCCTTCTATCTAGTAGATTTCAAAATTTAATACAAATTTTTAACAGTACTGCTTCTAACAAAGCATAAATATTGAAATACCTAACAGTCTGGCCACATGCCTTACAGTCTAATAAGAAACGTCACGGCGGCTAACAGCTGCCAGGGTCTGTCAAATTGATCTGATTGGTGATGTGTACTAGCAGTTTAGATACTTACTGATATTTTGATAATTATTTTGAAATTGAACCAAGTGCATTTATAAAAGGACGAAATGAACTACAATCCAAATGCTGGGATCCGGAACCGTAAGTGGGAAAACTGTAAGGATGAAACGGCGCAAGCACGGTTTGTGAATTCATTTGGGTTAAACGGGGGATGACGACACTCCCGTTTTCCAAGTGACTTACTCTTTTGGATGAGTTCTGTTTATATTTTAATTGAACGTATTTTGTTGAATCGTCTGCTACTTTGCTTAAGTACTAACATTGTAGATAGGAATTTTGAAATTATTGTGTCCAATGTAATGTTATTGTTGCGCATTTTCGTCTTGCAGTTTTTCTTATTAACGATGGTTTCCATTTTAAATCAAATCGAATATATTAATAAAAGCGCATATTTTTGTTATTAAACTCAAGCTCAAGGTCCATCCCGCAAGCCAAAACGTGTTAGTGACATCAATGCTATGGGACCATCAGCGCCAGTGGGTACATCAATGCCTTATATGCAACCAACTGTTGGTACAACAATGCCAGATCACACAGCAGGTGTAGCTGCTACATACGGCATGATACCACAACAACCTACGACAAATTTTGGTAATTTCAACACCACTCCGGCTCCAATTCAAAATCAAAATTATAACTATGCTGCACCACCTACTTCTCAACCATCCACATTCGCGACTGGACCAAATGTACAACCACAATTTGCTGGAAATATGCAAATGGGTGGCCAGCCAGCACCAATGGGTGTACCCGGCACACAAGGACAATTTCCCGGTGGAGTACCACAATTTGCTATGTTTCAACAACCTATCGTGCAAGATATGGCCATGCAATATGGCCAACGTTTAGCCGATCAAGGCAAACAGTTGGTTGAAAATCAATTTGAGAAATGGGTATCAGTTGCCAAATTAAAATATTATTTCGCAGTTGATAATAAATATGTCATAAACAAATTACGCTTACTATTCTTCCCGTTTACACACAGGGTAAGTGCTAAATCATATAGCTGCCTATTTAACATAAAGAAATTGAATTTAATTTTCCTTTCAGGGTTGGTCATTGAAATATGATCAAGAGAATCCTGTGCAGCCACGCTATGACATCAATGCTCCAGATCTATATATACCCGCAATGGCTTATATAACATATGTTGTTGTTGCTGGTCTAATGCTGGGCTTACAAAATCGTTTCTCACCCGAACAGCTGGGTATACAAGCGTCTAGCGCTTTGGCTTATAGCATTTTCGAATTGGTTGTCTACTCCATTACACTGTATGTGGTGAATATAAAAACGAGTCTGAAAACCTTGGATCTACTTTCATTTGCTGGTTACAAATTTGTTATAATTGTTGCCTGTTTGCTGGTGAGCACACTTTTCCATGGCGTTGGCTATTACGTTGCACTACTGTATACAAGTCTTACGTTGGGATTCTTTTTGGTATGTTGCCGCATTTAACTAGCTTTTTTATATATACAATAATTACATGTGTTTCATTTTACTACACAGCTGCGTACACTCAAGACCAAAGTGCTGCATGATGCAACACCAGCAGCCACAAGTGGCGCTATCAATTATGACCCCTACGGCAATCCACAGCAACTTGATTACACAGGCGGACGTAAACGGAAACTGTATTTTTTGTTTTTAATTGTAGGCGGCCAAGCATTCTTATCATTTTTATTATCGAAACATTTGTACTTTCCGGATGCAGCGACTTTAGAAGTTAAAAATAATCAATTTTAAAATTCATACATGTTAATTTCATCATATTTAACCCCACTTTGAAAGCAGTGAATACGTTTCTTCGGTTTCCATGTTTGTTATAAGCTGCTTAACGATAAAAATGTCTTACTATTTTTTATGCAAAAACTTGTGTCTCATTTAAAAAACGAAAACTACTGTAATTGTGTTAATAGTGTAAATCTCTAAGGTGCATGAAATGAAAGAAAAAACATAAAATTTAAAAGGAGCGGTGTGAACAAACATTTTTTATTGGCAGTTTTGTAAAGTAGCATTGGTAGTGACGAAAATAGAGATTATTAATTAGAAAGCTGACTTAAAGAGAGCGAATATACATACATACATATTAAATCCAATTCCATAATGTAAGCATATTTTTGTTAGCATTTTTCTGAAATAAAGTTGAAAGAATTCTCAAATTGTGCAATTTAACTAGCTTTTGTGAATAAAAACAAACTTGGTCACACATTTATAGAAGCTTATAGAAAATGGGTTGATAGCACATAGATCTGGTGGCTCAAAGTTGTTTGTAAAAAAATTTTCACTACTGGAGACTGAACATATTTTGAAAAAGGAGTTGAAAAGAAAGTTCATACTATTTAGACCGGAATATATATATATATATTTATATATATATATAGAATATATGTATCATAAGCGATAATATATCGACTTTTAACAAATAACAAACCATTGAGCGAATATTTATTATATATATATATTTAAATCACCAAAAAATTGTAAACACAACTACATTGAAAAACTTCTGTTTATTTTTTTGTAATAATAATATTTATTGAATTCTTTAGTCTCTTTAATTATATGAAAACTATCGGATGTACATACATACATATATGTGTACATATTTTTTTGCTATGATTTTTGTTTGCTTCTATTTTGTATCAACATCATCATCATTATCATCTCACACATGACTATTAAAGTTCATTGTCGGCTTCGTAATTTATCGCACGCATCTATATCAGTACTAGAGTTATAATTAGATATATGTATGTATGAATATTTTTTATTTATTTATTTTTTAAATAACTTATGCTAGAAAATATTTGTATACTTGCCGTACATTTAAAATGCACGCAGGTTGTTGGTTCAAAACTACATACATACATACATACATATGTACTTGTGTATTTGTCGTTATCGTCATTTATGCCATTCTAAGTTGATTTCTTCTGTATTACCATTAGTTCTTGAATTGTCTATAACAAATTTGCCTTTAAATAGTAGTTGTTGTTTTCGATTTGCTATAGTTTAATATTTTTATATATAGTAATGTGTATAATTTTTTTTCTTTTTCTATTAAAAAGCTTCGCATTTTATATATTATTTTATTTTTCATAATAAATCTATTACAATGATGAATATATGTATGCGTGGATGAGTGTTTTTTATGTATATATATATGTATATGTATAGGCGTTATAAATGTGTTCATGAGTGTATGTGTGTTTATAATAATTCAACAAAACTTACATATATGTGTGTGTGTGTTACTAAAGCTTACAATTTCTGTTTAACACAATTTAAGAGCAAGGCAAAAACAATAACTAAAACGAAGATGAAGGCTAGATTTCTTTAACTCTGATTTTAAGCTCAGTAACAACTAAAAATCAATAGCTTAGATGAAAAACTTAGTTTTGTTGATTAATTGATACCCTTTTTTTATAATTCAGCTATTTTCATAAAAATTTTGCTTGTTTGAAATTGCTTAAAAGTTTAGCACGATTTTAAATTTGAAAACCAATAGTTAAAGATTATTTTGAGTTGTTTATTTTTTCACCCTGATTTAAATGTATATATTTATTTTTTTTTTTTTTGCTTTACTAAATTTCAAATTTTTATTTCAATAATGGTTACTTTATACACTTTTTACATTTTAATTTTCATACATTTCTTAAATACAATAAATAATTAAACGAAATACATACATACACGCTAGTAATAAGGCAAAGTATTATTTAGGAAGTAGGTTTATGGCGCAAATTTAAATTCCTACATAAACAAGTTTTTTTCTTTAAATGAATTAAATTTGTGAAAATAAAATATGCTTCATTTCAGTATTCCTAACTGACTCCGTGAGTTGCACAATTACTATTTTATGTTTTAGGTTATGTTTACGAAAAATTAACGGAAAATCAACGCATACCAAACTGTTGAGGTTATATTTTCTTCTAGATAAAAAAAAGAGTTCCTAAAATCGAATATGCGCACAGCCAGCGCATGCATGGGAATATACAATATATTTTTCTGTCCACATAACCTCAAAAAAAAATTGCCTGATGACTAATTTTTCCTATATAACCTCAATTATATAAACATCAACTCAATCCCTTAGAGCAAGCTTAATTTTGGCTATGAAAAATGTGTATGATTTTCTCAGATGAAATCCTGAAGAAACTGAAAAGTAGGCTGAAGAAAGTCTAAAAACTTTATTCCTTGTTTTTTTTTTAATCTAACTAAACAAATACCTCAGATTGGGAAAATGAGGAAAGAAATTAAAAACATATATAAACCTTTTCTTGTCAGCACAGGAAATTTCGGTAATGTTTAAAGCTATTACAATAACAAAAAAAAATTCAAGAGAATTTTTAAATTTTCGATAACTCGCAAAAATTAAAATTCACCGAAACTCACCAGCTGCTGACTATAGGCTACATTTGTAAAGAAATCTAAGTCGAATGGATCGTCTCAGTCCTCTGAGACTATTGAAAGTTTCTGAAATTTTTAATTCTATTTCCAAGTAAATGGTAAAGGCGAAACTTAGATTTAGAAAAACGAAGGAAGAATAAAAAAAGAACACCAAAATGACGGTATGTGCTATACGATACTACGGAGATTGTTTTTCAACCAAATAATTTTTTGATGGACCCTTAAGTAATATGATTTTAAAGCTTCTGAAATTCTTGATCAAGTTTTACTATTTTTTCTCACTTGTTTTCTGTTTTTGTTGCTGTAACTGATGATTTTATGAAATAAGTTTTAATTGCTTTATAATGAAGAAATGCGTTTTTATTGAAGAAATTAAAATTTTCGAAAATTCACAGCACACTAGCAAAATATATAATATTACCAATTCTAAACCGATATACATATGTACATATATATTTTTATTTCATACCTAGTTCGAAATTCCACTGAAGACATCATAACAAAAATAAAAATATATATTTTTTGTCGTTTAATTTCTTTATAATTTTTATATACATTATTACGCAAAAAAAAAGACTTAAATTAAAAACACAGCGTTTAACAATTGTCAAGCGAACTCTCTTGCTTTCTTGGTCTTACTCTCTTTCTCTCTATCTTTCTCTAACACTCTTATATACCGTTTACAACAATGCCAAACAAATAACTCGAAGCGAACGCCACAGGGACTGGAGAGCAGTGTTTTTGGGCAAATCGCTCGTTATGTTTTCTCCATCATCGTTTAACGCACGCAAACAACTACAACTAATTAATAAATTTTCAATTTTAATTATATGACTTTAATAATATACATACATACATTTCATATATAAATAATAATAATAATAATAATAATAATAATAATAATAATAATATGCATAAAATCATAAGCGTATATACTCTATATATCATGCTTATTTATATAGTATATATACAGCATATATTTACATAAGCACGTACACGTAAGTAACATACAGATATATGAATTTATTTGCTTGTATATAACACATTTTGAACTTAACAAACTTATTAATGCACTTTTCTATGTAAAATTAAAACAAACACATTTCTACACCAGCAACTACAGTGAAAAAAAGAAAGAAATATATATGTACGAAAGTGTGCATTCAAATATGATAAGAATGATTAAATAGTACTAACACGCTCGATAGATAAGCGGCAAAAAGGTTTGAAAATATAAATATTTGCAATGCATTTTCGTATATGTATTCAATAGTGGCAACAACAAATGAAACTTGGCTTCAGCGTACAACAGCAGCAGTTTAGATTTTTTACTTCTTTCTGATCATTGTATTACAAGTGAAAAGTTATTACAAGCATGCCTTGCTTGATAAGTTATGTTGAATAAGCGAAGAGCATGCGGAGGTATATGTATATACCTACGTTCCTACAATGTACGAATGAAGTCAAATTCTTGGCATTGAATATAACAAAATTTAATTTATTAACACTTTCACACATACACAACACAACAAAAAAAAAGGTATGCACGTTCGAGTGTGTGTGATGATGGCTCATAAGTTGGAGTATTTTCTGCTGCTCTCCATATATATATGTATGTATAATAAACGGTTTGCTTAAATGCTTTCGCTAAGTTTATCATATATTCGTACTTAAATTGATGTCGTTAGAATTTCTTTTTTCTCTTCAATTCAATTTAACTTTGTCGGGTAGTTTGTTCTGCTTTAGTGTATTCCTGTTTGCAATGCTTATATGTACGGCGTGCACTCTATTACATACATACATACTATGTGTTATTAAATAATTTATATTTTTATCTGCCTGTTTTGCTGCTTCCTACTATTTGCTTTTGACTCTTTTTTATCCTTTTTCATATTCACTTTCAACAAGTTGACTTAAACATTAGTAAAAATATTTAATATTTATATATGTATGTGTATTTATATGCATAATAGTATTGTTTTACATACTTTACTTGTATATATATATGTATATATATATTTATGCTAATTACAGTGGAATATTTGAAAATAGGTTTTTTAATTTTAGTTCTATCAGCGCCATTTAGAATGACGTTAAAATGTTGTGTTTGTTTACATACTCTCTCTTACTTCTTTTGTTTATCATATATAAATTTTATATTTAGTTTAACGTATTTTTTTTTTGTTCGCATGTTTATATGCTTTTAAAGTGTTTTATCTGCGCATGCACGTGTTTCACTCCTGCAGGCTCGCCTCTTTTATATATTTAATCAGCCATAAATCACTCTCTGAGTTACATAAGCCGCTCTTAAATTCAATTGTATCGCATTTCAATTTATTCTGGCGTTTTCAACGACATGCGACAGCTCCTTAACCGATTCTGTTCGTAATTGTTTATATTTATTTTATCGAACTATATTACCGTACCGCCAGGAGGCGCCGCTTGACTTGGCGATAAATGCTGTGGCACATTTTGCTAAAATTAAAAATTAAAAATTAAAAAATAAAAAAAAAAATACAATACAATTAGCACACAACTCAAGATCATAGCTCAAAAGAAACTTACAGTCGCATAGCCGGGTCGCGCCCACGTGTAGATGAAGCCATCTTGGCACGCGGTTAGGAAGCAATCTTCGCGAAATATCAACGCCGACAAACGTTCATGCGCTATTTTCTTACATAAGAGCGGCTCCAGTAAGGGACATTCGTCGAAACGTGGACACGCTGGCGTACCAATCAGTTTCATAGGATCGTATGAGGTTACCACTGCATTTGATGCCGCCGCGCTCAGCGATAAGCTATGTGAATGTGTGTTGGATTTACCCAGTTTCAAAGAGCCGAAACTATGCGTCGTCGTACTGCTACTGGTGCCCACGCCACTGTTGCTGAGGTCGATGGCGCCGCCACCACCACCACTGCCTGAGTTGCTGCTGCCACCCATCGCACCATATTGCTGGTGGTTATGATTACTATTGGTTTGATTGTTGGACTTGAGCAAGCTCATGCCCTTGCGATGAGGCCGATGCGTCGCCGGCAATTGCGTTGCATCAAAGGAACCAGTTATTGAGGAGGTTTTCTTTTCCGAATTGTTTAGAAAACTGAAATTCGAAAACCGCTGTGTCAGACTGTTGAAAGCTGAGGTGCTCGAATCTGTTGACTTGTTCGAACTCGAGTTCTTGCTGCTATAGCCGGACGTTGTGGCTGTGGAGGCAGTGGCAGTGCCACCATCCTTGACACTGCCTTCCATAGAATCCGATTTGGTGGCACTAATGCAATTTGGGAATTTTATAGAGTTACTTGTTACATTCGTTCTACTGTTTGCATTGTTCGTTTTGCTGTTGCTATTCGCTGTTGCGTTACCACTACCACCGCTGCCCGGTGCTGATTCATCGGGTGGCGTATTCGCGTTCGACGAATGCGACGATATGGTGCAGTTCGCTGTGGAGAATTTACTAGAACTGCTGTTACTGTTGTTCTCAGGCGCTACTGTCTCTTTCGTTGGACTGCTGGTATGTGGTGGTGGTGAGAATGGACTCGTTATGTTACCTATGGCTATGGGGCGTATCACTTTAATGCCGTCCGCATCAATGCCGCCATTCATATAACTATTGTCGTTCAAATTTACGCTATTGACTCGTTGACGCAACGACATTGGATGCCGCAGCACATCTTCCGTTATATCCCACAGACATATCTGTGTATCTTGGCTGACTGAACCGAGACGATAGCTAATGGCTAATTTATCTGGTGCCAGTGCCGCCGATGACGAGGCATCCGATCGAAACGAAGCGGAATGTGGCCTTTGTCGTGTATGATTCGGTGTTGAGTTCTTCTCATGCGGTATGTAATCAAACCCGTTGGCTGTTGAATCCGTAGAGAAACGCGCCTCTCGCCCAACACTATATTCATTCATTTGATTTTCGTCGTCTGAGAAATCACCACCATCCCAATTGGTATAGGATGTGGTGTAGGGATCAAAAGCCACCACCGATACCCATGAACGATGCCCTTGACCGCGTGCCACTACCCTTCGCTCGTGCAGCGACCACACCGTTACGAGGTCATCCTCACCACCGACCACAATATATTTACCATCTGGCGACCAACAGACGCACAAAAAGCCACCGAAATAGGAACGCGCAATGCCAAGTAACTCCATGGTATCATAGTGGAATACACGCAGAAAACCATCCTGTGAGACTATGGCCAAATTGGAGCCACATGGCGAAAAGCAAAACTCGTTGATGCAACAGTTTTCAGTAGTGAATATCCATTTGTAGAGGGGATTACGCGTCGATTTCGATTTGCAGGTGAGTATTGTATAGCCATCACCCATTTTGAAGGGCTGATAGTTGGGCGCCGTGGGCGTACAGGGCAGGTCCTCGTTGTATAAATACAGATTGCCTGAAGCGTGTGAGGCCAGAAATAAATTCGGTGAATTTGGTAACCATTTCAGACATGTCACTTTGGTCTTGTCAATGAGTCGCTAAAAGGCAAAATTTTTAAATTGGTTAATATGCGTTTATGTATTTATGTAGGAGTACATATGCGGTTAATAATAAACAATTTTATTTACTTCTTCATTGTATAGCTTGCGGAGCTCACGCGGTCCTGGCTGTGGCGAAACAAGCTGGATTTGTCCTGTGGTGAATCCTACAAGTAACGGCGCGCCTGTAGATGTCGCTGTTGTGGCATTGAAGTCATGACAACTCGGATTGGTGCCCTTGTAGAATTTCTTGTCAAGAGGTTTTGAGATTTCCGCACACTGTGAATAAAGTTTGGAATAAAATCTGATGAAATCTGTAAACATGTATACAATAATAGCCGAAATGAATTTATATATATATATGTATAATAGGCGCTTTGTAACCACTGAAGAGATTTCTGGGCGAACTCCTCGACCAATTTATGGTTTTGCGTCTTGATTTTAATCCAACAAATGAAGCGACCTACAGTTTATCCCCGCTGCGGGTAAGGGGTTCAAGAATTTACCCGTGGCAAGGCATGCCTGTCGTAAGAGGCGACTAAAATCCAATAAAACCCGCGACAGTCGGATTTTTATACCAGATTTTTATCCGGCCAAAAACTGTCATATCCGCAAAAAATACTTGGGGGAATATTTTTGCGGTTATAACAACAACAACAACAACAACCTACAGTTTATACTAAGCCGCCTCCGAACGGCTAATGGTTTTTGTTCATGAGGAGCTTTTGATTTTCATGTCAGATATACACTTGGAAGGGTTGACGTTCGAAAATTTAGCTTAATTTTTTATTTAAATTAATTTTAAGTTAGTTTTTATAATAAATATTGGGTTGCCCAAAAAGCAATTGCGGATTTCTTAAAAGAAAGTAAATGCATTTTTAATAAAACTTAGAATGAACTTTAATCAAATATATAATTGCCATTTTGTTCGATAACCTTTTGCCATCTTCCTGGCAAATTTAGTATTCCACGCTCATAGAACTTCTGGCCTTTATCTGCAAAAAACTGAACCAAGTGCGATTTTATAGCCTCATCATTGCCGAAAGTTTTACCATTTAAGGAGTTCTGCAAAGATCGAAATAAATGGTAGTCTGATGGTGCAAGGTCAGGGCTATATGGTGGATGCATCAAAAGTTCCCAGCCAAGCTCACTCAGTTTTTGGCGAGTGACCAAAGATGTGTGCGGTCTAGCGTTGTCCTGGTGGAATATGACACCTTTACGATTGACCAATTCTGGTCGCTTCTCCTTGATGGCTGTATTCAATTTGTCCAATTGTTGACAGTAAACATCCGAATTAATCGTTTGGTTCCTTGGAAGCAGCTCAAAATATACGACACCCTTCCAATCCCACCAAACAGACAGCATAACCTTCTTTTGGTGGATATCAGCCTTTGAAGTGGTTTGAGCTGGTTCACCATGCTTGGACCATGATCGTTTTCGACTAACGTTGTTGTAAACAATCCATTTTTCATCTCCAGTTATGATTCGTTTTAAAAACGGATCGAATTCATTGCGTTTAAGGTGCATATCACAAGCGTTGATTCGGTGTGTTAAATGAATTTCTTTCAATACATGTGGTACCCAAATATCAAGCTTTTTCACCAGTCCAAGACTTTTTATGTGATAATGAACGGTTGATTTTGGTATATTTAACTTCTCTCCTATCTCACGCTCAGTTACATGACGATCCAATTCGATTAATGCTTTGATTTGGTCATCATCAACTTCATTTGGCCGACCTGAACGTGGCTCATCTTTAAGTGAAAAATCTCCAGAACGGAATTTGCGAAACCAATTTTGACACTGTCTTCCTTTTAAGGCTTCATCACCATACACATCTCGTAACTTTTTAGCAACCTGCTCCGCGTTTTTTCCTTTACGGAAATAATAAAGTAAAATATGACGAAAATGCTCCTTTGTGGGCTCCATATTAAAATTGACGCCAAACAAACAAATGTGAACAAAATTTCGCGCACTTTTTTTCTAAAGAAAGCTAAAAGTAACAGCTGATAACTGACAGAAGAAAGAATGCAATTACAGAGTCACAAGCCGTTCAAAAAATTTGTCAATGCCGACTATATGAAAAATCCGCAATTACTTTTTGGGCAACCCAATAGTTATCGTCCAAATTAGCGATTATTTTTAAGGTTATGTTATGGAGAACCTGTGGACAATTTGTTTTTACTTCAGATTTCACCTCACTCTCTCATCTTATAACAAGATATGCTAGTAGAGGTTAGGAAAAACCAAAATCTAGCCCGATTTTAAGCAGAGCAGTCGCATAGAAAATGATGAACAATACAAGAAGCTCCCTTTCCATCTGCATATTGTCCTTACATTCGTTGATTTCATTGCTAATTCTATACTATGACTCGGGGCTACTATTACTTTAGACATTCCCTATCCCATTCCCAAGTACAGACGAGTGCAATTCTACCTTCGCGCAACCTGCTCATCGGTACATGAATACCTTAAATAAATGGCTTGCTCGTCCAAGTGAAAGATAACAAAATCGGTTAGCCCTTTCCCATAGAGATGAGCGATTTACTGCTTCCTGTGATCCATCTTTATTCTTGAAGGATAATTGGCCTTGACTTTGAGGTTCCCTTTTTATGGATTTTTTTGAAGTTTTTTCATGTTTTAATCGTCGAAACTCAACTCTTTGAGCCATGTGTGCACAGAGGTATGTACTCTGTTAGTTCTTCGCCGTCATATTTGAATGGCTCAACTGGTAAGTTATCCGCTCCCGCTGTTTTGTCGTCATTCAGGCAATCAATTGCCGTTCGTACTTCATCTTTGTCGGGTAACGAAACATCTGTGCTATGGTCATCGATTGGAAAATCGGGTACATTATCTTTGCGGATATAGAGATATATCCTTCATAAAATCAATTTACTCTGGATATTATTCGCCAAATAATGTCGTTGAGTCCTACGGTCTTGACAAATTCTGTAAGTGTACGCGTTTCACCATAGAATTTTCAATGATACTTCTTTTGGACAGCAACTCAAGCTCTTCAAACTTACGCATTTCGATCGCTTTAGTTTTTTGTCTGAAAATGCATTTAAGCAGTTTCCATCTTCAACTTTCGGTATGTCACCCACTTAGCGGGCGTTGCGGTCGATCGCCGCATTGTGAGATCCCTGCACTGTTTAAAATTATGTATCGAAAACCAATTGTTTCGTAGGCAGCGGGCCGAATCGAGCTTGAAAGCGTTCCACCACACAGTTTCCTTATACTCAATTGCTGCTGACTGCTCCCACTTTGTGTTTGTTGACGGGCGTTCTTTGCCGCACAGACACACGTAGTATTGATAAAATAAATTGAAACAGTACTTCGACGTATTCTATTTATGTATGAATGTAATTTGAGTCCCTCTAACAGACTTTTAGATTTTTAAAAATATCTCTCTGTTTTGTTATCTTTTCAATATAATTAAAAAAAAAACACATTCATTCATACATACAATGCATATAGCGAATATACCAGTTGGACGCTTAACATACCCTCTACTCCAACAGCTCCTAAGTATAGGATTATCCATTTCATGATTTCAAAAGTACAGAGCTGTATTCTGATATGTGCCAAAGAAACATGTTTTGTTTTAGTTGAGCCAGGCATTTTCGGAAAATTAATCGCTTAAAAACCGCACAACGCCTTAGAATTTTAAAACCTACTAAAAAAATGGTATTTCAAACCTGGCCATGTCTCGTGGGTTAAGAGGAGTTTCAAGGAATTGTAAAATCTTAAAAAAATTTGATGAGACTGCATCGGTTACAGATATTGTGAGGCTTTTGCGTCATCATTTTGCTCGTTTCGCCTTAAATATCGCTTTTGTGTGTGTGGAAGTGTAACCAAAGACCCGAATCTATCTATTTCTGAACGATCTTAGGAGCTGAGACTTTTATACGGCTTTTAATGGTTTATTTCACACGTGGACTTACACTTACATCTACATTCATACAAATCTCAGCCCACACAAGAGCTGAAGCCAGCTGATTATTCACAATGCCTCTCCTACGTCTGTCCATTGGATGCTTGAAGAACAAAATTTTCATCAGCGTCGGACACATTAGTTACTCGGAGATACTTAAATAACCAAAATTGTCACACTTGGGCTCCCAGGATTCTCAAATAATTCAAGAGAGGCCATTACATACAAAAAAAAAAAAAAACAACGCACCTGTGGTCCGAAGCTGTGATTGGACCTTACTTCTTTGAAAACAACGTCGATGGGACCGTAAATTTTGAGGGTTGTGGTCATACGATAACCGACTTTTTTCGGCCTGCGATTGCAGAACATGACTTGGACAATATGTAGCTTCAACAAGACGGTGCAACATGCAACATAACAAGAGCGAATAGGACTTGCCAGATAAATTTCCCGGTGGAGTAGTCTCTTGTCTTGGCGATATCAATTGGCCACCGAGAGACCGTTGGACCTTTTTGTATGGAGAAAGACCATGTTTATACGGATAAAGCTTCAACTCTTGAGCACTTGAAAACCAACATTCGTCAAGTTATTGCTGAGTCAACGCGCAATGTGGTTCAAAATGTGGTCGAAAATGATCTCAAACGGATCAAAGTTTGAAAAAACAAAATTCGCGGGGGAGTTATTTGAATGATGTAGTGTTTCACATATGTGTATTGTGCAGTTTCTAAATTTAAAAATAAAAAAGAATTTCATAAAGAAAATCATTTTAAATGCATTTTGTTTACGTTTATTTTCGAAACCCGCAAATGGCTAACCCTGTATAAATACCATACCATTTTTTAGCTTGCTTATTGCCTCAGCCAGAATATGTCGGTTGTTCTAAACACGCAAACTTAAATTCATTAATCTTTGATGTAGTCTTGATACATACATATGTACATACAATACATACATATGTCTACTGGTATTTACGCTACAGAAATAGAAAAATTAATTCCTTAGTAATAATAATAATGTGTGTAAATATATTTAGTTGCGCCGTCTCAACAGTAATTATGATATGGCCGAATAGACAGTCATAATGAAGAAAGTGGATACATGCAAAGCATGCGGAGCGATTAAATAGAAATAATATTAGATTAAATAGAATATAATTGGAATTAGAAGCAGCAGAAATGTGGCGAGCAGCTCTGCAGCTGACTTCAAATGCTTAATTAGTTTAGGAAATTTACAATGGCAAAAATGAAAAGAAAAAGAAAGAAAAGAAAAGATAAAACCAGATAAAAGAAAACCAAGGGTGTGAACTTTTTAGTAATAATTTACTATTGATGGAGAATTATGTACG